CAAAGCCTTGACAGACCTGGTAGATTTGACAAAGTTGTTAACGTAGACTTACCAGATGTCCGTGGCCGTGCTGATATATTGAAACTTCATTTGAAAAAAATTACTACAGCTCCTAATGTAGAGTCCTCTATTATCGCTCGTGGTACTCCAGGTTTATCTGGTGCAGAATTGGCAAACTTAGTGAACCAAGCTGCTGTTTATGCTTGTCAGAAGAACGCCATTGCAGTTGATATGACCCATTTAGAATGGGCAAAGGATAAAATATTGATGGGTGCCGAACGTAAAACAATGATTTTAACTGAAGCTTCAAGAAAGGCTACTGCATATCATGAAGCTGGTCATGCTATTATGGCCATGTACACTGCAGGTGCCACTCCATTATACAAAGCTACTATTTTACCAAGAGGTAGAGCGCTAGGTATTACTTTCCAATTGCCTGAAATGGATAAGGTTGATATTACTAAGAAAGAATGTCTATCACGTTTGGATGTTTGTATGGGTGGTAAAATCGCAGAAGAAATTATATATGGTAAAGAAAACACTACCAGTGGTTGTGGTTCCGATTTACAGAGTGCCACAAACACTGCTAGGGCTATGGTTACTCAGTACGGTATGAGTGAACAAGTGGGTCCTATTAACTTGGCAGAAAAGTGGGAATCATGGTCAGGTAAAATCCGTGATATAGCAGATAATGAAGTAGTTGAAATATTAAAGGAATCGGAAGAAAGAACTAGAAAAATGCTATCTAAGAAAAGTGTTGAATTACACAGACTTGCTCAAGGATTAATCGAATATGAAACACTGGATGCCAAGGAAATTGAAAAAATTTGCAACGGTGAAAAATTGGATAAAACAAAGACATCGACTAATACAGTAGTTGAAGGTCCGGATAGTGATGAACGTAAATCTTTAGGAAATGATCAAAAGAAGGTTCCAAGCTTAATTAAAGCATGAAATAAAATAGACAGATATCCTTTCTATCACCTGCATAAACAAGAAATCATTTTCTTATCTCTGTTTATATATTGCATTACATTTTTATAGGATCATATTAGATGTAAATAGATTATACTGAGTTCTATACTGTATATAATTATTATTCTTACGGATATTTTTTACGAATAATAAATTGTACTTTACTATACCAACGATGCAGTTTCAAAATAACCAAATAGAATATTGGTTATATATTTTGGAATCATAAATTTTAAGTGTATTTAAAGAAATATCTACATAATTGTTATATATCGAATAATTAAAAAAGAATAGATTAATACGTAATTTTTTAGAAGGTGGAGACGAAGGATTCGGTGGCAGTCTTCAAAGAAGCCAATAATTCCTTATTTAATTCACCCTTGTCTCTAATGGTGTTCAAGATTTCTTGGTGGTTAGATTTCAAGTAAGCTAAGAAAGCAGCTTCGAATTCACCAACTCTTGACAATTCAACGTTATCTAGGTAACCGTTAACACCAGCATAGATCAATGGGACTTGTTCTTCAGCGGCCAATGGAGAGTATTGACTTTGCTTCAACAATTGAGTTAATCTTTCACCTCTAACTAAAGTTTGCTTTGTAGAAGCATCTAAATCGGAACCGAATTGAGCGAAAGCAGCAACTTCTCTGTATTGGGCCAAGAATAATTTCAAAGAACCGGCGACTTGCTTCAAAGCTTTAACTTGAGCGGCAGAACCGACACGAGAGACGGATAAACCGACATTAATGGCTGGTCTAATACCCTTGTAAAATAATTCAGCTTCCAAGAAGATTTGACCATCAGTAATGGAAATGACATTGGTTGGAATATAAGCAGAAACATCACCACCTTGAGTTTCAATGACTGGTAAAGCGGTCATAGAACCACCACCTTCTTTGTCGGACATCTTAGCAGCTCTTTCTAATAATCTAGAATGCAAGTAGAAAACATCACCTGGGTAAGCTTCACGACCTGGTGGACGTCTCAATAATAGAGACAATTGACGGTAAGCAACAGCTTGTTTGGATAAATCGTCATAGACAATCAAAGAGTGTCTACCATTGTCTCTGAACCATTCACCGATGGAAGCAGCAGTGAAAGGAGCCAAATATTGTAATGGAGCAGCTTCAGAAGCAGTAGCAGCAACAATGATGGAATATTTCAAAGCATCGTGTTGTTCTAAAGTTTGAACTAATTGAGCAACGGTAGATCTCTTTTGACCAATAGCGACGTAAACACAGTACAACTTCTTCTTTTCATCAGAACCACTGTTCCATCTCTTTTGGTTTAAGATGGCATCTAAAGCGACGGCAGTCTTACCAGTTTGACGATCACCAATGATCAATTCTCTTTGACCTCTACCAATTGGAACCAAAGCATCGACAGCCTTCAAACCGGTTTGGACAGGTTCGTGGACGGATCTTCTTGGCAAAATACCTGGTGCCTTAACTTGAGCTCTGGTGTAACCAGCAGCTTTAATTGGACCTTTACCATCGATTGGGTTACCCAAAGCATCGACGACTCTACCCAACAAACCTGGACCAACTGGGACATCGACAATCTTACCAGTTCTCTTGACGATTTCACCTTCTTTAACTAATCTATCAGAACCGAACAAGACAATACCGACTTGACCTGGTTCCAAGTTTAAAGCCATACCTTTAACACCAGAAGAGAATTCGACTAATTCTTCAGCTTGAATGTTGTTCAAACCGAAAACTCTGGCAATACCATCACCAACAGCCAAAACTCTACCAGTTTCATCTAAGTTAGCTTCTTCAGAGACACCTCTGATTCTTTCTTCTAAGATGGATGAGACTTCGGTTGGTTGAGCCTTAGCAGTAGCATAGGCTCTTCTAGCAGCTAAGACAGCAGCAGGTCTTGCAAATTTAGAGGCATTCAAAGCAACTCTTGGAATTGTACGTAAAGCAGCAGTACGAGCAGCAGATAACATTGTATTATTGTTTAATATAAATATATATTGAAGCTCAATGTATGATAGATATTCCTTTTAGATCTCAAACGGAGAGAGGGAGGGAAGTATCAATTGTATGAAATAAAAAGTCAATAAAATATCCTTATTGAAACTCAATATATACCACACAGGAATATCAGATAATGAACTATGTCTGTTCTAACTATAGAAATAACAATTAGAGAGCAAATAGAAATTGGTATCTAATACAATTCAAAAATCGTATGTGAATAAGGTTTCTTTCAAAACTATCAAGTATATAAAAATTGACTATAGTAGCACAGCAACGTTAAACCAATTCGAATAAAAAAATATCATAAATAAGATAGGTTAATTAGTGCAAGGGAGAAAGGTAGAAATTCGAAATGAAAAAAGATGAAATCAAGAATTGTGAAAAAATCGTTAAAGGTTGGTTCACCAAATGTCGAGCAGAAGTTGGAAAATATAGAGTGATAACTTAGGAAAATAAAAAAAATAAAAAATTGGTAGTTAATACTGTTATATTAGAAGACTGGGAGGGAAAGACATCGAAATATATACATAATTACAGTTTTCCACTACTGCTGCTTCGAAACTGGATAGTCAGTAGTAAGCAAGAAATGGAGAGCAAGACCAATTGAACAGAGAGAGGTAGACGTCAAATGAGAATTCAAATAATTTCAGAGGTGTAGCACTGATGAAATGATTATTATTAGATTGTATTGTTTTAATAAATAGAACAGTTGCAGTTTTTTAGCGAGTGGATGGATAGTACGAAACAGAAGCATATATTATCCACCATTCAATTGGACAGAGAGTAAGATCTCATCAATTTATGGGGGGTTAGATGGGGAGAGAGAGAGATATATATATTGTTTTACGTGAGTTTGTTTTTATGAGCTTAGCTCTAGTTGTAAAGTGTGATATAAACATGGGTGGGATGGTTTGATTCAGTATAAGCTACATACCAATTTGTTTCTTTAGTATGCATATATACTTTATTCACTTCGAAGTCAATATATTTCGAAATCGTTAACGAACAAGAGCAAAACAAATGACGTAGAGATTCGAATCCAACGTGAAAAATAAAGAGAGAGAGGGAGAGAGAGAGGAAGGAAAAAAAAGAAATCAAACGGTTCCAGCCAGAATTTCTTTTTTTCTTTTTGTTTTTCAGTTTTCCATTTCGAGTTCGGAAAACACGGTCACGTTCGTTGGGTGTGAGATCTGGGAGGAAAAAGCAGGAAAGAGCTGTATTCTTAAACAGCATTGCTCTTCACTGTGGGTCATGTGAAGGATAACTCTCGATCCAATATCGTTTGTTGTGATGGAATGCAGTAGATGGATTATTTTCTCTCCAGTCACGTGTGTGTTGGTTTGTTTGTGTTTTTGTGGTCATACTTTTTTCGGTAAGTAGTAAGTGGATTTGGGTACACAAAAGCCATTAAAATAGAAGAGAGATAAGTATGGTGTGGTTCTGGCGCTAACATGTGCGTCACCTCCAAGTTCACTTTGTATCACTCTACACGTATATGTATGTATGTTTGTCTGTCTTGCCAAGCTTCTTCTTCCCTTTTTGTCTCGCCCAGTGCGCCCTCTCCTCTCCTCTCCTCTCCTCTCCTCCACTACCACAACGAACACTGCCGAACCCACCCACACCACCCCCCTAGCCCCGTGACGTACCCGCTTACATTTGATCTTTAATTACGTACATCATATTAAGGGTTATTAAGCTAATCGAAATTTATATTTCGATTTCTTTAATGACAAAGATTTGGTTCATCTCAATATAACATATTGAATAATCAGAAACTTTTATGCAATTCTGCGCTTAACAAGCAACTGCCAGGTGCCTAAGAGTAATATACATTTTAATTACAACGACCCACTTGTGCTGACAGCTTGGTATGAATATACATACATACAGACAGACATACATACAACATTAAAGAAGTTGTTGTCTACTAAAAAATTTAAAATTGTTGGATAATTGATTTTGTTGACCATAATAGCTAACATTCTATTAGTGCTTTATCAGTCACTACATTTTTAGATATACAATCACTCGAAACTCAAGTTCAAGCTCAAGCTCAACCTTACGCTTACGCTCACCCCTCATCTATATAATATCTTTATATTAAAATCGATTTTGACTTCTGCATATTATTGCATATAACAGAGTGTGTGCCCGTACATCAATCTGTTGATTATAGATTTTTTTGTTACAAAATATCGATTTTTAATTTACTGATAGTTTTTAAATATTATTTGCATTATCCTGCAGTTTTAAGACGTCATCAATTTTTCACAATTCAGCATACTGATCAACATTTGGTGCCATCATTGATTTTGGTCTATAGTCAACTACCTTAATTTGTGTGCATCAGAAGTTATTTCAATTCAATAATAAGGTTAATAGCAAAAAATATTTTTTTTGCTATTATTTGTGTTCTTAGGAAAAACCTCATTTCCATCATTACAGAAAGTATACCCCAAGAAATTTAATTACTAGCATCATTCTATCGCCAAGTGAAGAAATTGAATGACTTCACATTAACATAAATTAAGATATATATATATATTCATGGATTTATCAATCAATTATGAGAGATAATTTCTTTGCAAAGGATAGTCATCATCGTCATCACAGTCATGATTTAGAGTTAACAACCGAATCTGATCATACAAGTCTTCCACTTTCAAATTCAAATTCAGAAAAATTAAACAAAAAACTACGGTTTTTAACAACTACATTAATAATGTTCATGTTATCAATCGTAATAGCCTTCTCATTGTTATTCGCGAGATCGATACAAATCGAAAATGTAGTTAATAAATTACCTTCGAATGCTGATTCATCTTGGATTCGTAACTCCACAGTCCATGATCTGAAAACTGACTCAAATGCAAGAAAGGCTTCAAAAAAACTGTATGAACTATTGACAGATTCCGAGCACGCGTATTATGATGATGAGAATATGGTCTTGGGAACAAATTTCTTCTCACCAAATACCTATTCAAGACAACCTTACGTTTCAAATGGTTACATCGGTTCAAGACTACCAAATGTTGGATTAGGTTATGCATTAGATACCTTGAATATTTGGACAAACTCTAATGACAAAACTAATATCATAGATGGAGCTTTGGAAAATGGTTGGCCATTAAGAGATAGAAGATATGCAGGTTCTTTCGTTTCTGATTTTTACTGTCTAGAGGCAAAATTGAACTCTACAAATTTTCCTGAACTTGATAAGAAGGGTTATTCGACTGTTATATCATCGATTCCTGATTGGACTGATTTGAGGATTAATTTTATGGATCCTGAAAATAGTACCTTGTATTATTTTAATCCTCTAGATATTCAGATAGATGATGTAACGAACTACTCCCAAAATTTATCAATGAAAAACGGTATTGTCACCACTGATTTTGATTACTTAAATAATACTGTCCATATGAAATCAAATGTATTAGCACATAGAAAAGTTTATCCTTTAGGTTTAGTCACTTTAGAAGTGTCACTAAATCTAGAAAATTTAAGTGATAATTTTGATTCCTTAGATTTGGATATAATGGATGTTTTAGATTTCAATTCTTCATATAGAACTTATTTGAAGGAGATGGGATCTACTATGAATAATCAAACTAATGTAAATGACGGTATATATATGGTAGTTGAACCTGATAACGTTCCATATTCAAATGCTGTCATTTTTACAAGCTCAAACATCGATGTTTACGACAACTCTTTCGCCAACAAATTGAGTACAGTTGAATTTGACAATGTTAAAATTTATAATGACACAACAAATATCAACAGTTATAATAGTAACATTACACAATCCACTTCCATAAAATTAACTAAAACATCACCAAAAATAATTATCTACAAATATTCTGGAATAATGTCATCTGAGTTCAATGATAAATTTGGTAATGACTATAAAAAGAATTTAGACGTGATAAAAGATATCGTATTGACATCTAAAGGTAATTACGATGAGTTGCGTGCTTCTCATGTTAAAGCTTGGGAAGATTTATATAATGATGCGTTTATTGAAATTCCTTCTGACACATTACTTGAAATGGCAGCCAGATCGTCTTTGTTCCATTTACTTTCAAATACTAGAATGTATAATGTCTCTGAATCCCGTGGTTTACCATTACCAGTTTCTGGTTTATCTTCTGATTCATATGGTGGTATGGTGTTTTGGGATGCCGATGTTTGGATGCAGCCTGCTATACTTCCATTTTTCCCTCAGATTGCCAAAAATATTAATAATTATAGAAATGCAACCCATCATCAAGCAGTTCTTAATGCACAGGAGTACGGTTATCCAGGTGCTGTTTATCCTTGGACTTCTGGAAGATATGCAAATTGTACTTCAACCGGTCCTTGCATTAATTATGAATATCACATAAATGTTGATATTGCAATGGCTTCGTTTTCAATTTATATGAATGGTGGTGACGGAATTGGTGAAGATTACTTGAAATATACAACTTGGCCTTTAGTTAGAGATGCAGCTGAATTTTTTACCGCATATGTTAAATATAATGAAACTATTGGCAAATATGAAACTCATAATTTGACGGATCCAGATGAATTTGCAAATCATATTGATAATGGAGCATTTACCAATGCCGGAATAAAGATTCTGCTTAAGTGGGCAACCGACATTGGTACTCATTTAGAGGAATATGTTGATCCCAAATGGATACAAATATCTAAAGATATATTGATCCCAAGGTCTGAGTCCAACATTACATTAGAATATTCAGGAATGAACAGCTCGGTTGAGATTAAACAAGCAGATGTCACATTAATGGTATATCCTTTGGGTTATATAACTGATGAGACAATCTTGAACAATGCAATTAAGGACTTGTATTATTATTCAGAAAGACAATCTCCATCAGGTCCAGCAATGACTTATCCGATATTTGCAGCTGCTGCTGCCGGTTTGTTGAATTATGGTTCCTCCTCCCAAAGCTATTTG